TCCCTAAACCTCTATTCTTATAATAAAATTTTGAAAAATTATGTAGGAAATCTGGGTTTCGAAGAATCTCTTAATAGATTCATGTTGGAGTATCTTTCATTTTGTTTTAAGAGGCACTTTGTCTTTTCTGTATATTTATCCTATATGTTGACAATTTCCACAAGGATATCATTAAAAACGTTTCCTTCGTTACCTGCAATACAAAACTATCAAAATTTATCCAGTTTGGCCTGATCCTACGTTGTCTTATTATCCCATATCTAAGCCAATTTTTTTTCATGCCGCTTATCAAATTCCGGGCCATTTGTGACTTCTGATAAGTCATATCCTCGAGTTTTTGAAAATGCTCCTGAATGAGGATCCTACCTAGATAAAGCATTTGATTAACTATGTCCGAAGGGCACTTCCTCATGAGGGAGCAATACCATAATGCTTACAACAATTAAAAAATGTGGAATGACAAGATTGACTTACTATTGTCCTCTTTGTCCGACTGTAAATGGTGCATCTTTAGTTTAAGCGAAGGTATGAAGAATCAAGACGACAAAAATTGGATCTGTAGAAAAACTGGGTTTCGAAGAATCCTCTAATAGATTCATGTTGGAGTACCTTTCATTACATTTGAAGAGGCGAGTGAAAGGGATTCGTAAATTGGTTCCACCGGAGGCTGTGGGGGGGTTGCCTTGAAGCTGTGGCTGTAGATTTGTGCGAATAGGTCCTAGGCGCACCGTCCTGCGATCCCGACGAATCCTTGCTGAGCTTTCGTCCATCATCTGGCGGATACATGTGTCTACACATGCGGACATCATCAGAGCAGGACACCATGTTTAACGATAATTCACCAAAAACACGAAGGCGAGAAAGGTGGCCGGCTTCAAACCGACTTCTTATATTCCAATTTGGTCGACTTATGCATCTCATGTTTTGGTTAGATGTCATATGCTTTGCCTCTATATTTGCTCACAAGTTAAGTGGCTGCGGGTGACATGTGAAGTGGCTATATATGAAGCGTGAAATGGGTGAAATTGATATCGAACAGCTGTATCCTCCTCCAAAAGACTTATGCCCTTTATCCTGCAACGTTACCACATGTGATTGCGAGTCCTTCAGAAGGCATCTCAGGATTTAGTTCATATTATGACCCAAGAAAACATTAAAAAATTAAACTCATTAATAGGGGGGAAAACCAGTTTACGCTAATCATTGGCAAGCAATCTTAACTCGGAAGATTTCTCTAAATGACAAAGAATGGCGGACAGAGGTTGTATAATATTCTTTTTCAACAGGGTATATTCAGGCATGATAAAAAACTTAGAAATTTGGGTATAGGAATCAAGAGAAAGGGTAATCAAAATACGTCTATGAGAGACAGTAGTGAGCAAAGGATAGTTGGGGAGAAAGTGGTAAATCTCTCTAGAACAGCCTCAAGGCTGTTCTCTAAAGGTTTGAACTTTTATTTACCAAATAGTAAGGATAATAGGGAGGATATTCTGGTGGAACTCATCAGTTTTACCGTCCATCTTCCAAAAGAGACTAGAAGTGATATTTAATTACAAATCGTTCCTTTACTTGATAGCCAAATAGAAAGAACACCTAGGAACAGAGTGAATAACATCATAGGGACACTGGATGTTGAGAACCAAATAGTGTTTAGGTCGGACAAAGTAGGAATTGTGGTAGCTATGGATAGGTTGTGCTATGTAGAAATAATGATGCAGGCTTTCTATGACACTACAGCATACAAGGTAATTAGTAGGACCCCTACAGAAACCCTTAAGTCTAGACTCAGGAGTTGCCTGCAGGATTGTGTAACAAACGAGGAACTAGAGAAGTTGAAAATGAACACGCATATTCATCGAGATTCTAGACCTTCGAATACATATGGTTTTCCCAAAATACATAAATATGGAGTGCCACTTTTAATTATTGTAAATAATAAGGGAAGCAGGTTGCATAAACCATCACGATTTTTTGTAACTAGTTGAAGCAAATCTCCGAGACGTAAGATTTCAGATAATAATTCTTATGAATTCTTTAACTTAGTCGACGAGCAGGAGATGCAAAGTTGGTATTTGCTGGTAAGTTTTGATGTTGAGTCTATGTACACTAACATTCCTATAGACTGTCGTACAGGTCCTGAAATCCACACTAGACCAAATGGGTCGATAATTATGCTGACCGACCTAGCGATGTGCTGTATATATTACATCTCATTACACTGAATTACTGGTAGTCTCGAAACCCTACTCAGATATGTATATATTTGACCTGTAATGGTAAACTGCACAAACAAACACGAAGTTTAGGTATGGGATCGTGGTTGCCACCAATTTTACCAAATAATTACATGGCTCAATTTGAAGAAAGCTTAAATAAGGAGGAATAATTAGTTCTTAAATTATTAGTTGCTATATGGACGACTACTTTGTTATTTGGCAACATGGAAAAGAAAACCTGGAGAATTTTCTTGGCTTGATGAACAGTATCGATTGGAAGACGAAATTCACCATCGAGTTAGAAAAGGAACGTGGTTTGCTTTTTCTTGGTGTCCTAGTTATCAAAGAAGGGACCATATTAGGTCAAGCTGTGTATAAGAAGCCCAAAAATGCAGGTTTCCTTTTTACTTTTATTTCCAACCACACTTATGTAGTTTAAGTAGGAGTTATTAAGTCTGATATTAAGGGGCCTGCTTCTGGCAGATGTTTAACATCGTTACGAGGAACTGAGGAGACTAAGGCGAATTTTGGTTGAGAATAATTATTCAGAAGGGCTGGTTAACAACTATTTTAGGATATTGTCAAATAGAATGAAGGAAAATATATATTTGGAGCTAGATAAAAAGATAGATCATTCTACCAGGATCCTTATGCTGTCATCGTGTAATCTGTCGAAGAAGATAGGCTACTTACTCATGAGGTGGGACATTAGGACCATTTATAAAGAGAAAATAACACTGTCCTTGGTATCCCATTCTTTTTGAGAACCTTCTGACCCGCTCTCCAGATCGGGCTGTTACAAGATTTTCTGTTCATGTGCTAATGCCTATGTGGGAGAGACCTGTAAACCCATACATAAGAGGTTATCACAACACAAAACAGCTTGCAAGGATATGTGGGCCCAAAAATCGGAATTGATCGAACACATAGCTTGCACAGGACACCAGATGGATTGGTTTAAGGCCAAACGCTTAGCTGGATATGGAGATTATGCCAGTAAGCGAAATATTAGGGAGGCCATGCCCGAAAGAGATTCGGACGAAACCATTGTTTCTTAGCGACAATGTCGGCCTTATTTGGACACTTTCCTCATGGATATGCTAAAAGGCTATGTGGTTTCCTTATATCGGTCTCGAGGTGTCCACTGTGCCAGCGCATAAAAGCTGCATCCGCACTTGCTGTCTTAGAAATCACTTCCTAATCAAACTTAACTATTATTAATTATCCGAGGAAATTTATATGTGAACTGAATAATAGTGCTTTTTTGGAAGTAAGCTTAACTGAAGCTCGATAGCTTCTTGAGGCCTGTTCATATTATTGTGAGTTTGCTATAATTAGTCTAAAGTTACTGTTTTTCAAAAACTCGCTACAAATATCATTTTCCCGTGTTGTGTTATGATTTTTTAAAATAATTCTCCTATCATTTATTTGCCTGAGATGCTTTTATTTTGAATAACTAATATTGGATGTCTATTAAACTATTCATTAATTTTGCGGCAACTCGAAGCCGACATATTGGATATATTGTCTCGTGGTCCGAGTGGATACTACTTTTAGCGAATGATCTTCTAAATGGCCCCAATATTTTTTATTTATTATGGGTTACACAATTAGATTTTTGCATACTACCATGAATTATTTAAGATTTCTTATATACTTTAGTAATTTATCCCATCTCCTTTTTTATATAAATTTTTTACATTCTTTTTCTTGTTAATCCTAAAGATGCAGTTGGAGCGTCTTCGACAACAGGAGACTGAAGTGCGTTGGCTCGATCCAGATGATGTTACCGTTTGCTTCGCCTGTAACATTGAATTTCCCTCTGGCCCAGTTGTTTCTTCACGTAAACAGCATTGTCGCCACTGTGGCAAAATCTTTTGTACAGAATGCCTTCAGCACGTTGTTCCTTGTGGGCCAAAGTCTCGTCCAGCCTCTGTCTGTTCGGTCTGTCATACGCTGCTAAACAAAAATGTCGCACCATTTTTCAGTAGTCCAAGTCCAAACGCCATGGCAAGAACTAATATTTCTATGCACAACAATACGTCCCAGCCACTTCTAAACTCCTCTTTGGCCACTGGATCACCTCAAGCTTCGAATCCATCCGGATCCCAAAAACCTGTAGATTCATTTGCGACCCAGGCCTCGTTGCCAGTTTCCACTCTAAAACCTCATCAACACAGGCAGCACTCCGGTGACACAAGTTCTCATATATCTGAGTTCCATCCCGAATTTCCTATTACAATATCTAGCTCGAATTCGCCTGTTTACTCTATATCATTGACGACCCAAGCATTAGTTAATGAACCTAATCTATCTCCCCTCAACTCATCTACGCAATGTGATCAGCCAAATTATAGTAATGTAAATTTAACTCCTGCTGATGATAAAGTTTCTGAGGCAAATATTGGCTCTTCACCTTCAGACGATGACGAAAAGTTGTTGTCATGATTAAGCATTGCAGTGTTTAAATGCGCTGGATCATTTCTCCTTCGCTATGACCATCTCCATTTTTCATATAATCTCTACTTAACTTTTGGATTCTCTTGTAATAAACTAATTTTTTTGTTACACTAGTTAAAAAAAATTTATATGACCACGCTGATATTCGGCAATCGGCCTGAGATGTGTGCAAACATACAACCATAGGTTAGGCGACGAGTTATGCTAGTCTAGCTGAAAATGATGTTTTTTTAATGTACATAATTTCATTTTGAATCGTTGCCTATTCCATTCTAAGCATTTATATAAAAAATCATATCTTTATTTTTTATCGTGCAAATTCATTATCTTGTTGTTGTCAGCAATCTGTTTTGTGTAATGCGCATTTTTTGATAAAAAAGAATGATCTTTTAGGATCCTACTATTTCAACGTATCTGTGTTTCATTCCGTTTCATTCTAATTTTCCTCAATACACACTAAAGTCTGACTTCCGTTCAGGATACGGAATTACATTTGACTGTATACTGTCCTCTATAATTTGCAGGTTTTTATATGTTCTGATTTATCCTCACATCAAATTCATTTATGGAGTCTTCTTTTACTTTACTTTGAGTTGCATCTGAGATAATGCGTTGTTTCCCATTATTGGTGTGGTGTTTCTTTAAGCTTTTTCCTCCGCCAATATATAGAGTTTTCTTCGAAATCAAGTTGTCTGAGTACTCTTTAGCCTGGGATGGAACAATTTCATTT